CATCCCAGCATTCATCCCTGCATTCATCCCAGCATTCATCCCAGCATTCATCCCAGCATTCATCCCTGCATTCATCCCAGCATTCATCCCAGCATTCATCCCTGCATTCATCCCAGCATGCAGCCCAGCATTCATCCCTGCATTCATGTCTGCCCGCCTGCATGAAGCACAAAGGCGGAGATCAAAGTTTGAATGAGTTTCAATCAAACACTGCTTCTACTCTCCAGGATAAACCAGTTCTGGATCCAAACTGGTCTCGTTACTGGGATCAGTGTCTGATGATAATCCTCCATCCAACAGATTGTAGGTTAGATGATGATTGCTAGGAAAATCAGTGGGCGGAGACTAAACAGCAGATTTACACACTCTGGGCCTTCCTCAACATGCAGAGCATCTGGAAACGGACAGCAGAACTTTAGTGTTCAAAGAAAGCTCAGGCAGAGGCCATGATGGTCGGCCAGCGCAGATTAGAACAGATTATGGTGAGAGGATGAAGAAATGAAGGCAGAGGAGAAGCTCTGATTATAACCAACATCCACAGCATCAGTAGGCGCGTTTACAGCAGCTTTTTATGACGGATTTAGAGGATGTTTATCTTCATCTAGTTAATATTTCCTAGATTATTCACAGATTAACGAGTTCAGAGCTGCTTTTAATGGTCAATCAGGAAGCAGCTCTCAGCTCAGCTTTTTCCTGGAAGTTTTATTGAGCAAAAACAAAAACCATGTTGGTTTAAAGCAGACATTGGTTAAGAAAGCAGAAAGCCCCGCCCCTCTGAGTAAATAAATAAAGCAGCAAAACAAGTTTAAACTTAACATGAAAACACAAGCGGAGCTCCTCCCCTTTTCCTATCAGTGTGTTTAATAACATTAAGGACTAATGACTCCATCCTTACTGGGGCGCAACTGAAAACCACACATCTCATTCAGCGTGGTTCACTTTGAATTATTATGTCAGACTAATAATGTTGGTCATTTAGGAAAAAAATATTGATTTTATGAAGTCAATAGTTGAGGATTTTTGTTTATTTAATATATTTCTAGTTCTTTTATTGTTATAACAATAGAGATGGCATCTTTAGTCACATGGTGATCAGAGATTTATCTGCTTTCCTTTACATTTAAAACAGGCTATCAGCTTCAGAGACTTTATGCTCTAAACTTAGAAGAATGACAGCTTATATTCCTTTACATCCGGTAATGCAGATGAGAAGGACCTAACCTGACATTGGTTTACATTTCTAGAATAAAACAATGAAATGTGAATGATTGGTGTTTGGTACAGGATGTGAGTGACAGAGTGACCCTCCCAGACGGGACCTGAGGAGAAGCTCATAGCAGAGAGCTGATAGGATTCAGAGGGAAGAGGAGACAGATGCATCTGGGATCAGACTGGGAATGAAAGATGGCTTCCAGTTTGAGTTATTTCCACAATCTGCTTTATAAAAAAAATATTTGTCCGGCTCTTATTGCCTTTATTTTTTAACAAAAGGAAATGAGAGCAGAGAGGAGGAGGACAAGCAGAGAAGGCCACCGAAGAAGTTCTGCTGTGAGGAATCTGTAACGTCTGTTTCTGATTGTCTTTAGTGGGATGAAAAATACGGCCTCCCTTACAGAACATGATCCAGTTTAACATAAAAGGCAGAACTTATGAAAGTTAGAGATAAACTTCCACCATCCAGCAGAGTTCAGTCGTAAATCATTTTTGGTCAGTAGCAGGTCTTTCTCCAGAGGCGACATCCTAAAAACAACATTTAAAAGTTTTGATCGGTGCTTATAGGATCAGTAAGTTATTCATTGATCATGTGTTTTGGGTCATAGGAGGGAAGAGGAAAAACAGGCCAACACTAGTGTGAGGAAGGGGTGAAGAAGAGCGCTGCTAGGCAGAGCTCCCCCATCCTGTGGAATTCCCTGCAGATGAAATTCCTGCCTTCCTCTTCCTTAGAGGTCCTCATCCATCATCATCCTTCCCTCCATGGCTTTCATTTGAGATCTGTTCACCTTGATGTGGAAAAAAGAACCAATATCCAAAGCAAAGAGGCATGAAACAGATAGAGCCATTATTGAAAGTGATTGTGGTAATCATGGCCTGGATCTGACAGACTAATCACCGTTTGTTTCCACACCAGAGGAGGAGAGACTGGAGATGATTATTCATCCCAGAGTGATGTTTGGAAATGACACAGTAATTATTCCATCCCAGCCGGTGGGATGGCGCCACTGATCCGCCGTCTATCCTGGACGCTCATTTTGCCACACAATTAACCGCGTTTAGAATGAAGTGAAGTTTGATCACCTCTCAGGGAGCTGCGCTCTCCATCAGGAGGGCAGCTGCCAGTTTACCCACCGCCTGACGCCTCTCTATGGGGAAACAAGCTGTTTCAGGACAATATATCAGGTTTGGTACGGGCCAAAAAAAAAAAAACCTGAAAAAAGGTGTTTTTCTATTTAAAAAAATGCTTTATTTTTTATTGTTAGTTCAATCTCTAACATTCTGCTCCCCTTCATCACTCTGCTTCATTCTATCTCTATAGTTCTGCTGCTATAGGCTCAGACTGCTGGAGGACATAGGGACCC